GCTTCTTTATCTTCATTACAGTTAGTGCGAAATAAATACACAGAGCAGTTGTGTGGAATGAAAATGCTTTGAGATAATATCAAGCAATTGTGCATGTAGAGCTGAAGCCTGAAAGCAATAATAAAAACTCAAACGAACCTTCAGGTGCTTCCGGATATTGGAATTTGAAGCTTTGCCAAAGGAGAGCATCTTCGTCTTGTGGAGGCACAGCTTGGGTTTCACTTGCGGATTGCCGCCTTTCTCGGACAAACATTCAAAATAAGGTTTTAGATACGGCCGCGGTAGGACAAAACCTTCGTCGTCCATCATGATGATTGTGACAGCTTGAGTGAGTGAGAGTACTGCAGAAGGGAAAGCAAAGGTAGTGTTTCGCAGCCAATGGAGTGTCGAGAAGGTGGCTTTTATAATATGAGAGTAGTTTTTGGCCGCCTCGAGTCTCGCGGCAGGATTGCGTTGCTGGAAAGAACGTTCACGTTTCCTCATGCCACGCCGATGCCACTTCATACTCGGAAATGGCGGAATGTCAAACATGAATTTGAGATAATGGGTAAATGATACTCAAATATGTAATTAAAATACAGTATCAAATACTTTTGATCAAAACTATTTGCAAGATACCAAGATACTTAAAAAAGTATCTAAAATACAGTATCTTGAGCACAGTACTTGAGATAGGCACAAGTCTGGCCGAAACCCAAGTTGTTGCCTTTTCGGCGTTCCACCCTCAGTGGTATGTTTTTGCCTTTGGGCGGGCTTCGCCTGAGGGAGTGTCTTTGCCTTCGGTTCTGCCTTTGCTTTCGGGAGTGCCGTTTCCTTCGGGCTTGCTGTGGCCTTCGGGCGTGTTGTGACTTTCGGGCGTGTTTGTACCTGCAAGTATGATTTCTTTTTTTCGTTTTGGGAGTGCGGTTTTGCGTCGGCTTGCCGAGCAACGAGACGTCAACAATCTTCCGGACCCGTCATGAACCTATTATCGGTGTGCCTGCGAACGTTCTCCTGGACTTTAAGTCCAACAGTCGAGACTTTTTCTTTTCGTAACTTTTTTTTATTTGTACATGTGAACCCTGGTTCCCGGCTGTCTTTGGGCCGCGAGCGGCGTGTTGTTTCGCTTTGTTTTGATTTTAGAGTATTTGCTTTTTCTTGCTCTTCGTGGCCGCAGTGCCCGAAGTTTCGTGGAGCCTGATTTCGAGATAAAACGCGTGTACGCGTCTTCTTTGTTAAGTTTGTTTGTGTCGCTGTGCGCGGTTGTTTATCACCCTAATTAAATGTCTATTTTCCCTTTGTATTTACCTCTGCGTGTCATCGGCTTCTTTAGTCGACTTCACACCGGGCGTGGACCTATGACTTGCCACCGGTCCGAATCTAGCATGTCTTTTCTTTGTAATCACTTTATAGTTTTTCAAAAGGACTTAGTATTTTATTTTTATTAATTTGCACAACACTTCGTGACAGTGTGTCAGCGGCAGCCCCCTAGCTCGGCGTCGCCTAGCTGACTGCGCGGCAGCCTGGTCAGCGCATTGTGCACGCGTTCTTTCGTACGCGAAGTACCCACACCGCCAGGGGAAGCTTGGCCTCTGCAGGCGCGCTGTCGAATGCAAATGAGCGCAGTGGAATGTACTCTTCCTAGTAAAGTATTTGGCCATGAGGTTCCCTTCTCTTCCAACAAATGTTGCAATGAACCAGGCCGAAGCTGGCATCTGCAGGGGCTGACATCTACCTCGCCCTCGAAGCCGTTTCCCTTTCCGGGCTTACCCTCTGACCAGCAAGATGAGATAACCTGAACAATGTACCGGGGGCACGAGGACGCTGTTCTCCGAAGTGGACAATGGCGGCCTCTACGTGACGTGGAAGTCAATACCGCACTGGAAGAATGTCAGGTGGTTGGGCGCCGACGGTGCGCGGAGCCCAAGGTCACGTCACAGCTCATGACTCTTTGATGTACCAGGAGAGCCCAGGAGACGCAAACAAAGAAAGTAATATATATACATATATATATAGTGTTTTTTTTTTAGGCCAACAAATTTGTTGAAAAACAGCCGTGAAAGTTGCACTTATGCCGCTTGTGGAGGTGAGTTACACGGCCAGGGGGACATGCTATAGGGGGCTAATCGTAACGGTCAGTCGGCTAATTAATTAAAATTCGTTAATTAACTTTTTAATTAATGAAAATAGACATATGGTTCCAATTAGAAACTTGCTCAGCGTCATCGAAAACCTCTAAATCAGTAATTTTCAGAAAGACTTTGAGGGCGTGAGAAGCGTAGTAATGCACTAAAGTTACCACTCGTAGGAGGAGGTACAAAGCTAGCGGTTACGATAAGGCGTCCGCGCAATTTTTCCGTCTCTTATGTAGCCCCAGCTTTGTACCTTGTACCTGCTCCAGGAGTGCTAACTTTAGTACAATACTACGCTTCTCACGCGCCGGAAGTCTTTCTGAAAATGACTCATTTAGTGGTTTTCGATGACGCTGAGAAAGTTTCTAATTGGAACCATATGTCTATTTTCATTAATTAAAAAGTTAATTAACGAATTTTAATTAATTCGTCGACTGATCGTTACGATTAGCCCCCTATAATATGTCCCCCTGGCCTCCACAAGCGGCATAAATGTAACTTTCACGGCTTTTTTTAAACAAATATGTTAAGCATAAAAAAAAGTATATATATATATATATATATATATATATATATATATATATATATATATATATATATATATATATATATATATATATATACACACAACACAGGCACTTCACATCATCGTACTGGTTCCTGGCTCCTGGCTCCGCCGTTATATTGGCTTTCGGCGGGTTCCTGAAAACTTTGATTCTTTGATTCATTGGATTAAGTGCGGTTCATTCATCTGCATATGTTCGTTTATATATATATATATATATATATATTCATCAAGGGCATGTTCCAATTCGAAGAATTGGCACATTTTGTTGTGGTCACGTTGGTGTTCAAATATACGGTTATTTCGCCCATGGCGTTCATTCCCTCCCTTCTTCACACGAACCGGCTTTTCTTGTTATGTGCTGTCATTGCCATCACGTTCACCGCTCTGGTATACAATATTTCTTGATTTGAGTGGTTTCGTTTTTTCTAAGTGTCACGGCAAAACAAGTGACTGGCATGAGAGGCGGCCGCATTCTTTACAGACTTGTTACCTCCGCTGCTTTATTTTGTGGATTGAATTGATGCGCAAAATTGCTATGACAATTTTATTCCGCGATAAATTTGTCGCAAGACGCTGACCAATGTATCTCTACTCAATTTTATTCAACCTGAAAAAAAAAATTTGATTGGGATATAATGCTAATGCCAGAGTGCATGCGGCAACGTGACAATATTTCGATAGATCGACCGTAATGCGCCACTTGCTGTCCTTAATCACGTCAAAAGTTCGGCCACGATACAAGTTGTGTCAATGAGTGTTTCTGATTTTGGTAGCTACGTGTAGAATGTACAAAAGGTGTTAATTTTCATTTACACGGCAGTTACATCCATAAATGAACAAAAAATGTGAGCTAAAAATACATGATTTTTACAGTATTATGTGTTTTATTAGGTTTTCTGTGTGTGAGATAAGCTTGATAAAAAATGTTTTAAATGTGAGTGTTTCTTTTGTGTGTGTTTCCAGCGAACATGTGTTCAAAATACTGAAAATTAAGTTGTATAGAATGATAGAACCAGATAACTCTTGAATTAGTGCATGAGATGAATAAAAAGAATATCCAGAATTTGACTATATCGCACAGCAAAATGCTAGGAAAAAAATTTAATGAGAGCAAAAATTATATACTCAAACCACGCTCCGTATTCACACGCCTCCCCTTCCCCCGCTCCCCCTCACCCGAATTTTCTACACAAAGTACACAAACCTTTCCTCCCAGAAATTTGTGAAACCCCTGAGCCCTGACAGGGTGTAAGCCCTACGCCAGCACAGGCATGACCGCGAGTCGTTTGCGGACGCCGGCCTCCACCTTGCCCACTTTTACTCACTCTTCCCGATGTCCATTCGTCGTCTGTCTGATAACTGCTTCCCTCTCCCCCACGCTTGAAAACAACCGGTTCGCCCTCCCCCATTTCGCGTAACACTCGTAGTAAGGTTTTTCCCGCGAAAGTAGGGCCTTTCACCGAAGCCATCTATCCTGACCCACAAATGAAAGCAGCTCGCTTCTCTCCTTCGGGTTCCTCCAGAGACAAAACACAACAGGGGCCGAGCGTCGCCGAGTTCGTGTCGGCTGAGATCTCATGTTCGTGCTCATGTACTAAAGTGCAATTGACTCTGACACCGACCGACACCCACGGGCGTTGCTTTATAGCGGTGTCAAATAGACGCCAGCGCATTCATGAGTAAACAGGCCGAGCTAGCGTCACACCTTGAATCATCGGCGTCTTGCGGAACGCGGCAAGCCTTCAAGGACACTACGTTTACGAGCAGCGACCAGAAGCAGGTGAGCCGGCGAGCCGCACCGAGATTGACTCAGTAGTGCACGAGGCAGGTTCTCGAAGACGACCGAAATGCTGCTGGGTGGTGGTGCTTCTCTCTCCTGAACCAGTTTTTTTCATCTCGGTGCGCGCGCGCTTTACAAGTTACAACTGTCTGAACTGCCACCGGGGCGTCTCTTTGGGTTACATACGTTCCTGGTATACAAGTAGCAAGCAAGAAATTGACGACGTCTCTGCGTGCCTGCGCCGGAAACAGGCGAACGGAAGTCCGCTTGAAGGAAGTCGTCGTCGCGGACTTATCTCTAATTTCGTCCTGTTTATTCTTGATCTTATTTCTTTCGTCTCAGCGGGAGAGCGTTTTTTTTTCTTCCGAGTTTGACATTTAGCACTGTCTGCTGTCGCCGTGCGATCCTTGCGCGTTGACGGCTGAGGAGCATCTGTGAGCTGAGCGTGCTGGAGTTGGTGTGAGCCAAGAGGACTGTGAGGATTGTCTCAAGGTTACCAGGCTCGTTCGAAGACGGCGTCGCCTGTGTGAGTGAGTGAGTGATGTGGTCGACGGGATGTTTGACTGCGTGGTTGTTCGGCGCGGTGGCTCTGGGCTTCAACCTGGACGAACAGTTTGCGACCGTGCTTCGAGGGGATCCCGGCAGTTACTTCGGGTTCTCGGTGGCTTTTCATCAGAACAGCCAAGGCAACCAGTAAGTATATGAAAGATTTTATGGTATTACTCGCATGACTGCTTGAATGTGGCTGTTGACAGCTGAAGATAGGTTGTGGGCGTCGTACGTTTAATTTTCTACTTTTTGTTTTGCCTTCACGATTACAATACATTTGTCCGATATATTCGTTCTTGTGGGGTGGTATTATATCCAAGCCAGAGAGTGCCATGCGTAGATTTTTTTTAACTGTGGGATTGTTTTTTAACTAACATAGTAACGCCGGTTATAAATTATAACGTCACAAAAAAAACACTAACTGATGAAATAACTTTCCAGTTTATTTTAGTCTTAATAATTGGTTAATTATAACAACCAGTGACTAGAAATTCGTGCCTTGTTCCTCCTGTTTGTTACCTGTGCACATGTACTCTCTTGGGTGACTTACATAAATTTCCTAACAAAGGTGGACAAAAGATAGCTAATAGACATTTTTTGTTTTGTTTTTCGCAGCAAAGGTTTTTATTGCCGGACGCTCATATTCTCCGCCCAAAGGTAGCGCTAGAGGTGTGAACTAGTTTCTAATGTTTCAGAACTAACCGTTTTCTTATTCAAAAGTTATAGGTGACCTTCTGAGAATTTCAATGGAGAAATTGTGGCCGACGGAGATATCAAATGCATAAAGCTGAATGGCGCTGTTGCCGAGAATGAGCCCCGTTTCCCCATGGAAAGTTAAAAAAAAATCACTTTTGGATAAGACAAAGACGTTCTAAAACTTTGGCGCCTGGTTGGTACCGCTAGCGCTACATTTGGCCGGAAGCTGAGCGCTTCGCGATGAGCCGTTTATTTTTGCGGAAAAAAAAACGATAAAAAAAAAACGTTCGAGATTAACCAAATTGGCACTTTCCTCCCTGCATTTCTGCGGTGAAAACAAATCGCAGCGTCGAGTTTGCCTTTTGCACTCTTTCTCTGTAGCTCAATATGGCTGAGAGATAAAAAAAATTGAAATACTAAAAGCGAAAAAAAACAATGAACTGACGAGAGAGCAGGGAGTGGTGGTTTTCTTTTTCAAACAGTCATTTCCAGCTCAGTCAGCAGGTATCGCCACCGCGGCAAGCTGACTGAACGATGATAATCGAGACTTCTGTGATCAGGGTGCGCGAGGTTTCGATGACTACCAGGCGTCGGGCACTGACTTGTTTTTGGCTCCACTGGCCGGCAGTTTTTCAGGATAAAAGTTGCTGCTGTGGGGGACTAACTCTTTTGTGGCATCGCTTATTCGCGGCAGAAATATGAAAACTTTTGCGCAAGATTTTAATATTTATCCCAAATGGCGCATTTATTTAATATTTTGATAAATTGGCAATTAAGGCTTTTTTTTCCAAATATCTATAGAAAAAAAAGGTTGCTCATTATTTACAACATTCGGAAGTTTGTGGTATTTAGTTCATAATCAAAGTAAAAAAAAGTTTTCCAAGTAAATAAAACTGTACGGCATAATTAATATGCCGTAAAGAGAGAACAGTGCATTAAATGTATACGTTTCACGCATTATTTTCTCGAGACTTGGGTGCACTGAAATGACTGGTAACGAATCTATTACATCCAAAAGAATAAAACATAAAAATAAAAATTATATACATTTAGAAAGAGATGATTGATATCTGATCTAAATAAAATCGATCTGGATTAAGTCAAATAAATATGATAGGGTACTTATCAGACCTATTTTATTCAAGCCAGAACTCACTAAATAAAAAAAAAAAACATTTAAAGGGCAACTCCGCTCAATTCCGAAACATTTAGGCTTCCATGTGATTCACATTCACAAAGCACTACTGAACAACTCTACGTCTTCGGATTCGCGAAATATGGGATATTATTCGTATAATCCTAATTTAAGCATCACCAGATACCAAAACCGAAACTTCGGTTGCGTCAGGCAACATTGGTCTCGGGTCGTCAGAGTCATGGCAACGTCACGTCGAACCACGTGGTCTTGTGACGTTCGGGAGGGAGCGAGAAACAGGCAGTGTTGTACACGTTCCTCAAAAAATGGAACGAAAGCTCGTTCCCCGTTCCTTCTGATGTTTGGAACGCGTTCCCGTTACACGTTCCGTATGTGAAAAAGGAACTCGTTCCCGTTACAGTTAAAGAAATGGAACGTATCGTTACATATACGTTACATTTGTGTTTTGACGATTACCATATACAATTAGATCAAACAAAGTGTTTTTTGTGGTTTTTTATTTATCCCATCAAATGGCAACATACAGATTTGAATGCAGTGATGGAAAGGCATCAAGAGAAGAAGACAAGCGGAAGCAGTGTTTCATTTGTTGATATATTCACCTTTAAAAATCTCAGCTTTTAACCATATTTTGTGGTGGGCGATTCAGACGAGCCAAATGTACTGTTACCCAGGTCAGTCTTGAAAAGTACAAGTCCTTCTTTGTGAAAGTTAGACTCGTTGTTCACTTTGAAGATAGGGAACAAGGGGAGAAGAAATAAAAATTAATTTTCGTGTACACTTCATGTCACCAATATTCGGGATACAAGCGTGCGTTCGATACCGGGTAACCTGCTCTTGTGTTGTAACTGTACGTCTCTTTGTGGAAGTTCAGTAATGGCTGCAGTCGATCTTAGATTTCTGGGTGTACGAGGATTCTTGGAAGCAAAGAAAGTAGCTGAGTTTGAAACATCTATCTTTCTGTGTCTTTTCCTTCGAGTAAAAGTTTGGCTTTCTTTACCGCAGTCTCGGGCACTGAAAAAAGGATCGATGTCCACTAGCTCTCCTGCACCCGACTGTCACCAAGCGAGTATCAAACACAATTAACCATATGGTATGTAACCAAAAAGTTAACGAAATCCTGCTCTTCGTATAGATGGATATTGTTTTTATACTTTTAGAATTTCCCTTTCAGAAATAAAATACAAATTGCTCCACTGGACGAAAAAAAGGAACGCCGTTCCCTTTTCCGTTCCAGTAAAAATGTAACGCGTTCCTGTTCCAGTTCCACCAATGCAAAATGGAACGGTGACGTTCCTTCGTTCCTCCTAAAAGGAACGCGTTCCAGGAACGCCGTTCCTTGGAACGCCGTTCCGTACAACACTGGAAACAGGACACGCGACGCGAGCAGGTCTTTTTTTTTTTTTTTTTTGTTGGACGCGGGCAGGTCGCTTTGCATGGCGTGGACGGTGAAGGCCCGGGGGAGAGGGGGAAAGGGAGAAGACGAAAGAGGAGAAGGGAAGCAGAGTAAAAGACCGATAAGCGCGCAGGGCAGCGCAAACTAGCGCATCCGCGTTACGGTGATCACGTGAACGCCCGTTCAGCCAACACCGGGAGGAGAAACTCATGACGTCATCGTTCAATTTCGCTCTGAGAAGTAAAAACAAACAAAACGTGAGAAGGACGTAGACATGCCTCTGACGTAGTGGCTCAACGTTGGCCGTAGATCGTCTTCGCCGTCCCGCAAGGGCCCTCCGCAACCCGCTACGATAGCGGGAACTCCACAGTCAAGCCTATCGGCGCGCAGGCGCAGTAGCAACTTCTTCGTTGCGGAACGCTTAGCGGAGGGAGCAGCGCGGTCTACGAAAACTCTCTATTGACTGCGCTGATCATTGCGCCTCGCGCCGCACGCTAGAGTTGGCAGATTTCGGCGACTTGGCTCTCTTGAAGGTTTGCTGGCCAGTTTATTAAATGTATAGACGGAATTAGACCGTAATATTTGACATGGGGTCTTCCTATATGATACTGAAGAGGGCTACATAGTTTTCTAAATATCAAAAATGAAGCGGAGTTGCCCTTTAAGCCCCCCCCCCCCCCCCCCCTCCCTCCGCCCCTAAGACACTGTATTCCTATGTTTGTACTTTTTTTGGTCAGTGTTGTGTACGGAACGGCGTTCAAAGGAATTCCTGGAACGCCTTTAATGGGGAACCAATGAACGCTGCCGCTCCATTTTGCATCGATGGAACGGGAACTCGTACATTTTTACTGGAATGGAAACAGGAACGGCGTTCCTTTTCTTCGTCCAGTGGGGTAATTTTCAATTTTTTTTTTTAACAGGGAAATTCAAAAAGTATAAAAACAATAACTTTACGAAGAGCAGGATCTCGTTAACTTTTTGGTTACTTATTTTGTGTGATCCTCGCTTGGTGACAGTCAGGTGCAGGAGAGCTAGTAGACATCGATTCTTTTTTTCAGTGCCCGAGACGGCAGGGCAAAAAGCAAAAGTTTTAGTCCAATGAAAAGACATAAAAAAGGGACGTTTAAAACTCAACTACTTCCTTTGCTTCCACGTGTCCTCATCACGAGTCCCCTAAGGCCAAGTACAGCCATCACTGAACTTCCACAAAGAGACTTACAGTTGCAACAAAAGAACAGGTTATCAGACATCGAACACACCCTTGTATCTCGAACATTTTTCACTTCAAAGTTCAAAGATACACACAAATGAACCTTTATTCCTTCTCCCCACCTTAAAGGGACACTTGAACGAAATTCAAAATATGCCCGTCGCGTTCAGAAATAGGCTGAATATGATCCACAATATCCGTAAATGACAATCGCACGTTTGTATTTTGAGCCTGATGGCTGTATTTATCGTTATAAACGGCCCACTCTGGCAAGCGCTCGGAGAACAACCAGGGAGAGCACGTGACAACTGCCGCAATCGTGATGCAGTTCGTCTCGGGACTAGCAAAGCTGCGGCGAGGCTGACGTCGAGGGGATGTCCTAGTCGTTCTAGAGTGCCTTCATGTTCGCTTGAAGGCACCCAAGCGGCTGCGTTTGTACGAATTTCGAGTGACGCGTTAATCTTCTACAATCTTGTAGAGAGACAATAGCGACTTCTGGGACTCACAAAAGAGATTCTCGGGGACAGAGGAGTTTCTCCTTCCCCTCTTCTCTCGTGGTGGCCGGAGGCGAGACAGTTACCGTCACTACCTGTCAAGGTTCCTGGACGTGCATTACAATTATGAGGCGTTAGCGACAACCACCACGTGCATTTTCTTTCGGGTCTTTTTCAACAAGAGATTGGTGT